TATTGACTAATATCGCTTCCAACCGGGTCCATTCTATCTCCAAGTGTGTATTTCACCCCTTCTTCAGAACTACTGCTGCTCAAATATGAACCTGCACAAATTATAAATATCTAAATATCCAAATATGTAACTACCCTACAAAATGAAAACATGCACAAACTGTAAATATCTAAATACCTCAATATCCAACTAGAATACAAAATGTAAACCTGCACAAACTGTAAATCTCTAAATATGTAACTAGCCTACAAGATGTGAACCTGCACAAATTATAAATATCTAAATATCTAAGTAGCCTACAAAACGTGAACCAGCACAAACTGTAAATCTCTAAATATGTAACTAGCCTACAAGATGTGAACCTGCACAAATTATAAATATCTAAATATCTAAGTAGCCTACAAAACAGGAACCTGCACAAACTGTAAATATCTGAATATCTAAATATCCAACTAGCCTATGAAATCAGAACCTGCACAAACTGTTAATAGCTAAATATGCAACCAGCCTACAAAATGTGAGCCTGTACAAACTGTAAATATATAAATATCTGAATATCTAAGTAGCCCACAAAATTTGAACCAGCACAAACTGTAAATATCTAAACATCCAAATATCTAACCAGCTTCCAAAATGTGAACCTCCACGAACTGTCACTATGTAAATATCTAACTAGCCTATAAAATCTGAACCTGCACAAACTGAGAATATCTAAATATCTAAATAGCTAACTAGGCCACAAAATGCGAACCTGCACGAACTATGAATATCCAAATATCCAACTAACCTACAAAATGTGAACCTGCACAAACTGTAAATGTCTCAATATCTAAATATCTAACTAGCCTATAAAATGTGACTATCTAAACATCTAGCTAGCCCACAAAAGGTGAACCTACACCAGCCGTAACTATCTACATATCCGAATAGCTAATTAGCCTACTAGATGTGAACCTGCACAAACTGTAAATATGTAAATATCTAACTATCTAACTAGCCTATAAATTCTGAACCTGCAGAAACCGAAAGTATGTACGTATCTAAATATCTAATTAGCCTACAAAATGTGAACCTGCACAAACTGAAAATAGCTAAATATCTAAATATCTAACTAGGCTGCAAAATGTGAACCTGCACGAACTATGAATATCCAAACATCTAACTAGCGTATAAAATGTGAACGGGGACAAACTGTAAAGACCCAAATATCTAGATATCAAAATATCTAACAAGGGTACGACATACGAACCAGCACAAACTGTAAATATCTAAATATTTAACTAGCCTATAAAATCTGAACCTGCACAAACTGAAAGTATCTGCATATCTAAATATCTAATTAGCCTACAAGATGTGAACCTGCACAAACTGTAAATATATAAATATCTAAATATCTAACTAGCCTATAAATTCTGAACCTGCACAAACTGAAGGTATCTACGTATCTACATATCTAATTAGCCTAGAAAATGTGAACCAGCACAAACTGTAACTATCTGCATATCTAATTAGCCTACAAGATGTGAACCCGCACAAACTGTAAATATCTGAATATCTATACATCTTAATATCTAACTACCCTTCACAATGTTAACCTGCAGAAACTGTAAATATGTGAATATCTAGATGTCTAACCAGCCGACCAAATGTGAACCTGCACAAACTGTAAATATCCAAATACATAAATANCATATCTAATTAGCCTACAAGATGTGAACCCGCACAAACTGTAAATATCTGAATATCTATACATCTTAATATCTAACTACCCTTCACAATGTTAACCTGCAGAAACTGTAAATATGTGAATATCTAGATGTCTAACCAGCCGACCAAATGTGAACCTGCACAAACGGTAAAGATCCAAATATATAAATACCAAAATATCTGACTAGGCTACAAAATGTCAATCTGCACGAACTATAAATATTGAAATATCTAAATATCTAACTAGCCTGTAAAATCCGAACCTGCACCAACTGAAAGTATCTGCATATCTATATATCTAATTAGCCTACAAAATATGCACCTGCGCAAACTGTAAATATCTGAACATCTAAATATCTAAGTAGCCTACAAAATATGAAACTGCACAAACTGTACATATCTAACTATCTAAATATCTGCCTAGCCTACAAAACAGGAACCTGCACAAACTGTAAATATCTGAATATCTAAATATCCAACTAGCCTATAAAATCAGAACCTGGACAAACTGTAAATAGCTAAATATGCAACTAGCCTACAAAATGTGAGCCTGTACAAACTGTAAATATATAAATATCTGAATATCTAAGTAGCCCACAAAATTTGAACCAGCACAAACTGTAAATATCTAAACATCCAAATATCTAACCAGCTTCCAAAATGTGAACCTCCACGAACTGTCACTATGTAAATATCTAACTAGCCTATAAAATCTGAACCTGCACAAACTGAAAGTATCTGCATATCTAAATATCTAATTAGCCTACAAAATATGAAACTGCACAAACTGTAAATATATAAATATCTAAATATCTAACTAGCCTATAAATTCTGAACCTGCACAAACTGAAGGTATCTACGTATCTACATATCCAATTAGCCTAGAAAATGTGAACCAGCACAAACTGTAACTATCTGCATATCTAATTAGCCTACAAGATGTGAACCTGCACAAACTGTAACTATCTACATATCTAATTAGCCTACAAGATGTGAACCCGCACAAACTGTAAATATCTGAATATCTATACATCTTAATATCTAACTACCCTTCACAATGTTAACCTGCAGAAACTGTAAATATGTGAATATCTAGATGTCTAACCAGCCGACCAAATGTGAACCTGCACAAACGGTAAAGATCCAAATATATAAATACCAAAATATCTGACTAGGCTACAAAATGTCAATCTGCACGAACTATAAATATTGAAATATCTAAATATCTAACTAGCCTGTAAAATCCGAACCTGCACCAACTGAAAGTATCTGCATATCTATATATCTAATTAGCCTACAAGATGTGAACCTGCACAAACTGTAAAGATCTAAATATCTGAATATGTAAGTAGTTTGCAAAATCTGAACCTGCACAATCTGCAATTATCTAAATGTCTAACTAGCCTACAAAATGTGAACCTGCACAAACTGTAACTATCTGCATATCTAAATATCTAATTAGCCTACAAAATGTGAACCTGCACAAACTGTAAATATTTGAATATCTATACATCTAAATATCTAACTACCCGTCACAATGTTAACCTGCAGCAACTGTAAATATCTGAATATTCAAATATTTAACCAGCTGACAAAATGTGAACCTGCTCAAACTGTAAATATCCAAATATATAAATACTTAAATATCTATCTAGCCTACAAAATGTGAGCGTGCACGAACTATAAATATTCAAATATCTAAATATCTAAATATCTATGGAGGCCAGAAAATGTGAGCCTGCACGAACTGAAAATTTCTAAATATTTAAATATCTTGGTAGCTTAGAAAATGTGAACCTCCACGAACTGTATACATCTGAATACCTAAATATCTGAATGGCTAAGTGGCCCAGAAAATTTGAACCTGCACAAACTGTAGATATCTGAACATCCGAATATCTCACCAGGCTACAAAAGGTGAACCTCCACGAACTGTAGATATCTAAATATCTAAATATCTAAACATTCAACTGGACCCCAAAATATGAACCAGCACAAACTGCAAATATCTAAATATCTAACTAGCCTGCAAAATATGAACCTGCACAAACTGCAAATATCTAAATATCTAACTAGCCTACAGAATGTGAACAAACTGTAAATACCTAAATATCTAAATATCTAAATATTTCACTAGCGTACAACACATGAACCAGCACAAACTGTAAATATCTAAATATCTAACTAGCCTAGAAAATGTGAACCTGGACAAACCGTAAATAGCTAAATATCTACATATCTAACTAGCCTACAAAATGTGAACCTGGACAAGCGTTAAATATCTAGATATCTAAATATCTGAATATCTGACTAGCCTATAAAGTTTGAACCTGCGCAAACTATAAATATCTAAATATCTAAATATCTAAGTAGCCTACAAAATGTGAACCTTCGCAAACCGTAAATAGCTAAATATCTGAATATCTAGTGTGGGTCGATTTCAAAAGTTTTAAATAGCTTAATATCTAGTGTGATTCCATTTCGAAATATCTAAATGTCGTAATATCTAGTGTGGATCCATTTGCAAATATCTAAATATTTAAATTTTTAGGATAGGGGTACATTTTGAAATATCTTAAGATCTATCTATCTTGGGAGGGTCCATTTCGAAATATCTAAATATCAGTGTATGTGTGGGGGGGTACTTTTTTTCTGGTGGAGAAAAAGATGCAGGCTGCAAAAATGGAAAGGACACAGATGCGTTTTGTGATGACGCCGGAAACATTACGAAGTTCTTATGGAGAAACACCGATTTCTCTATTAAAAATCACGGCTTTCTTGTGTAGAAACATCGTTTTGTTCAGGACAAAAGACGAAGTTCTAGTCTAGAAGCGCAACGTACTCGTGATTAGCGTGAAATTATGCGTCGAATGGTGTATATTTAAGGAAAAAATAAAATAGTGCTGGATCTTTGAATTTGGAACGCCTTACTCATTGGAATTTGAGCGTCGACTATGTGAAGATAGTTGGACAAACAACAACTGCTGAGGAACTGTATGATGGAAAGAGATGGAAAGAAAACAAAATTATTCTTTGTAATTTTTACTTCGTGATGCAATTGTGCGATGTATTTATAATGACGTATTGTAAAAAGGACTTTTCTTCTCATGTTTTTCTTTTCTATATTTATGTAAACAACATTGACGTGTTACTTATCATTAGAAAAAAACCCATGAGGGAAGGAATTTCAGAAAACAGTAGAAAAACAGGACTGAATGCTTTCATATTCTAACTCATTGAATTAAAATAAAAAATCCCTTTATTCCGCATTCACCCGCAAATAATAATAAAATATGGGGTATATTCAAATCTGTGATGATGCGGACGATGACGAAAATGTCGTGGAGGTTCGCGAACGGGCTTGCCGAATACTGCACGGTGGTGTGAGCTGGGCTGTAACAGGTCTTCTGAACATTTTTACACTCGGCCAGTCACATCCGCTTGAACACCGATGGATCGAAATCGAAACAGATCGGGCGTTTTATAACGTTCAATTGTATGACAGTGGTGCTTTAATAATGAATTCAGCCAGAAATACGCGACAAACCGATTTGATGGGCCTGAAGTGTGCCGGCAAACCGAGTGATGCTGATGTCTGGAATATTAGCAAATACCGATATCCCTTCACCGAATATGAGAATGATCCTTTAAGTCTATCAGGCAAGTTGAAAAGGCTCTCCATACATCCTCCTGGACAGCCTCTTTCCCTGGGTAAAATTAAACGTTGGTTGAATGCCGGTGGCTTTCCTGCTTATTATGATTTGATTAAACACAATTGTCAACATTTTGCAGACGCATTTTGTCAGCGATTTTGTTATAGATTGGTTACCGTAGGTCGGCGAAATTCACCATTTTGAATAAAACAAGGATAAACAGGAACTTGTGCTTGAATGGCAATGCGAGCGACTCCCGTTCGATCTGGACGCCATACAAGTCTGTAAGCATTTTCGTGCCCAATTAATCCTTCTTCTACTCTTCCTGGTATCACACTAGAAAAGAGTGAAAGAACAATTCAGTGTACGACATAAAGAAATAGCAGATGACTATCGAACAGCGGATGATTTGGGAATGATACACAATAATCTAATTGAATATCGTCGGTTAAGAAGATCACCATCCCCTTCAACCCTCAGTTGCACTCTAAGTAAGTTAGTACTTTGACTTGAAATTGAAAAATTGGCCTTCTACTAGTAGAAATCTCAGATGTCTGGGTCATCTGACAATCCACTTTCATCACAGTTCATCACTTAACACAAATTAAACAATAAGCATTAATATTTCAACTAAGTATTGTGCATCTGTCATTATCATGATAATGATGATCATAAAAAAGAAATTTTAATTCCTAGTAATAGATGGTAAATGGTAACAGATATTTAAATTCATGATAATGGTGACAAACACTTTACAGATTCTCGTCCGTAATCATTCCCAGACCCGTGCGCCGCACCGCCGAAGTAGTCGAAATTTTTGGGAGCTCCCCATCGCCCTCGATGGTAAAAATACAAACTGATTTTAGCTTGCGCCGATAGAAAAAGTTTTGGAATAGAAAAGTCATAAGAAATTAGAAAAGCAGGAAGTTCTATTGTATTTAGGTCATATCAAAAGTACAGAGATGGGCGAGTACACAGATTCTTGAGTACGAGTACGAATACTGGGCGTCGGGTATGAGTACGAGTATTTTCTAAAAAGCACTCAAGTACTTTTTAGAAAACACTCGAGTACGAAAATTTTTAAAAGAAGACAATAATCCTGAAAAAAGTTATTTTAATTATAGGTTATTGTATGTAATGTTAAAAAATTTCAAATACTCGAAAATACTCGAGTACATTTTTAAGTAATTTGGATCAATCATATCTGGATCATTAAATTCAAGTGGATGGAGTGACATATAATCTGGCAGACAATTAAATTTTCCTTTTATGTGAATGACAGCAATTATATTGTATTCTTGTAAAAGAATAGATATACGATTTGCCAGTGTATTTCGCAGAGATTTTTGATGCATTCCACATAAAGGACAGTGATCCGTATATATGATGATCTTACGTCCAAGCAAGAATTGTCTCATTCTATTGAATGATAAGGCTATAGCCAATGCTTCTTTTGCGCCGGTATCATATCGCTGTTGAGTTTGATTAATCAATTGACTGTGATAATATAAATTGTACATCTGACCATTTATCTCCTGTTGAAAGACACCACTAATTCCATTTTTCGCATCTCTCGACAAAATGACACGATGTTTATCCACTGGAAAATGAAGAAATAGTGGGGCTTCGGTTAATAATTTCTTAAGTTCATGAAACGCAGTCGACTGAGCAGTGGTCCATTGAAATTTATGGTAGTGGTATGCCACCTCTTAAATTCGGTTTCTTTCCTGCTGTGTTTCACTTTCCTAATGACTATTTGCTAACGTAGGGAATAAAAGCCAGTTTATTTTAATAGCCATTTTTCTCATTTAATATATGTTGTGTTTGGTAATTAAAGAGTGGGATTTTTCTGCTGATGATTTTGAGTTGTCTTTAACGAGACCATCTTTTACCGGGAAGAACGGAGTTCCTAAGTGACCCTGATTTTCCTCATATAAGTAAGCAGTGAGATTCCCTAAATCACCTGGCTAGCTTAGTGTCACGACTAGTCATCCCACACAACAATTTGGTGTAATTATGCACACTTTTATATATAGACACACAAACACTTTTACTTTTTTGTATACTCATTACGATACTCGAGGTTTGTCACTCATCTGTTTACATAAAATATTTTATTTTTATTTTTTCTTCTATGCATCTGCTCAGAACCGAATTACTTTTTATATAGAAAGATAGAGACGTTTTCGCGCTACAAAAGGAGACGTCGTCGAGCTCTGAACGACATTTTTTCGTGAAACAGCATTCAGTTTATAAGAAGGCCTAAAGGAATGTCTTTCTCGTTCTGCCGTTAATTTTGCTGGTATGGGATCTTTTGTAAATGAGTGCTGCTGCTTCATGAAAAAGTATCGCACAGAGTGTGACGACGTCTCGTTTTGTTCAGAAATGTGTGCTCTACACGAATGGATTATTTAAAAAGAATTTCTTGTCCGCATTCCGTGTTTTAGTTTTATGACATTTTGGATTCCGGAGATCATGGCTTTAGAAATTTTGATAGAACCTTCACATACACCACATCAGCTTAGAAATTCTTTCGGCTACTTAAAGCTTTTCTAAGGTGTTTTCTTCCTTTTATATTGAGGAGAAATACCTAAAACAAGTCGTTTCTATAATTTTGTCCAGTAATGCAAGTGAAAATGATGATATTTCTCTAGTATTTTGACAATTCCTATATGGGCATAGTTTCAGAAAGCTGATTTATAGCTCATCTTGTAGCGTAGAGAATTCTCTACCTGTTTTGTATATGAGTTCTTGTCAAGTGATTCTGAAATTATATGAAAACTTTGAGGAATAAAGTGAGTGACTATTGTTCAGATGATGACGAAAAATTAGAAGAAAGTTTATGTTCAAGAAGACTAAGAGCACTTTTTGAGCGTGGGCAGTGTTGAGAAGTGAAAACATATTTGTCACCAATTTCGCTGAAAATCATATTGGGCCATTTTCTTACAGAAACGTTTTCCATCCTTTCTTCATACACAAACAGCGTGTTGGTTGTTAACTAATAAAAATACTCATTTATGATCGAATAGATTAACGTGAGTAGTATTACTGATTTCGAAATGAGTAAATGCGATTAAAAGTGAAACGTTTTTTGTACACCTCTTATGAAATATACGATATCCTCCATAGTTAGAATGAGTATACTGGTATAACGAAAAACACGATTGAATTGTTCACTCGTCGCCCTCCCCCAATCGGGCCCTCAGAAATTATCTCCGACATCGTACATCCGATTTTGGCTAAACTATCCATAAATGTTAGGTTTAATGAGTTAGTTACGGGAATGAAAAAACTTTTTTTGTCTCCAAGTCTTATGATTTAGGAGTTTTCCAGAATCAAGGTCCAAATAGGATCCTGAAGTTTCTACCAAGATTTTTTAATATACTTCAGGTTGGAGAGTTCCGATTTGTTTATTTTAACACTTCACGGACGGGAAATGTATTTCTAGAATGGAGAACGCTTTTAATTTTCCAGAGAACGCAAATAAATAGGGATAGAAAAGAGAACGTATTTTAAATTAGAAATATTTAATTTTTACTATTTTCTCACTTACTAAACATATCTCTATACGGTTTCTGTGGTGTAGTGGTACACTGTATGTCATGATATGCATATAGTGCTGGTTCGATTCTAGTCAGAAGCCACGTATTTTTTTTCTCTTTTATGGAGTCATTGCTTTTTTTTTTTTGGAAAAATTGATGTATTGTACTTACGACCGTTTTGTACTAGGACACACTGATAACCAAATAAGTAATCATAAAATAATGAATAACCATATAGGGCAATCGCAAAAAAACTGACTGAACAACATTCATATAAATATCGAGCCAACTATGTCTTTCATTAACTTTTCCACCTTATATCGAAAAATGGCAAGAAGAGTTTGGTCTTTTGCTGAAAATTTTTCTAATAATGATTTGTTTAATGAATACATTAAACATAATTCAGTTTCCTAATTTCGTTCACAACAAAGGTCATGTGGTTTAAAATTGACATATCGGTGTTCATCATATAAGAGGCAGCGCTGATACGGACGAACTAAGTTGCTCAATGAACTTTCACAAATTTTTCTCAAATATTCAGAGCAGATAGCGAAATGTGTCCTGGACGTTTTTGTCTCTTGATATTCTTTTCCAAAGTGCTTTCCCTCGACGCTAGAGCGCTTGCAAAAAAGGTCGTAAAATACGGAAAAAAAACGATTGTTCAGTTGAAAATTTTGCTTACGCTATAATTCCGTCAACTCAAATGCAAATAAACTTAAATTTTTACCAGAGCTGTCTTGATATGAGTACTATCCATGATAAAAATTTGAACTTGTTTAAGTTAAGCATTCTTCAGCAATAGTTTATTCTTTAGACATAGACAAAACGTCATCGACCGTTTTGAAAAAAGTTTTTTGCAACCGAAGATGGTCCGTTTGGAGGGCTCTCTACGGTTTCGTGAAGTAGGCCCAGAGTACTACCATGAACCGTCGTCGAAGTTTTGGGAAAATGATGGAAAATACTCGGAGACCTCTTGTCAAAAACGGTCAGCACACCTCGGAAAAACCTGAAAATTTTTCTTTTAAACCCCATTGAATTATATGTCATTCGACGCAGAATTCTGCGCAAGCGGCAGATTTTTAACATTAAATTTTGATTATTCAGAAATGTTTTTAGGAAGCTCTCGGTATTTCGCCTTTGCAAACTTTTTCGGAAAACAAAAAGACATGGACTAGAAAGAGAATTTTACGCGGATTTCGAATATCAACTTATTTTTGAACGATGACCGTTCCTTCACTCTCTGGTCGCAATTCTTTTTTACCAACTTTTTGAATTACATAATTTTGGCTTGCCACGGACGATGGACAGGATGTACTTTTTCCGTATTTTACGACCTTTTTTGCAAGGCGTCAAGGGAAAGTACTTTGGAAAAGAATGTCAAGAGACAAAAATGTTCAGGATACATTTCACTATCTGCTCTGAAAATTTGAGAAAAATTTGTGAAAGTTCACTGAGCACGCTACGTAGGAAAAGTGCGTTTCTATCGTGCACTGACTCATAAGAAATATCCTGATTGCGATTTTCAAATACAAGCAACAACTGATGATTTAAAACAGAAAGATGGTACCAGTTGATAAGTGGGGAGGTAGTGAACGTGATTTATTAACAATTTAATTATCATTTGGTGAAGGTGTATTTCAAAAAGAAGTTGAATTATTATTAAAAAGATGGAGAGAAATACCTGATATTGTTATATTTGCTAATTATTTTAAAGAACAATGGGTTGTTGATTTAAAATATTGGTATGAAGGTGCTGCTATGGGAATTCCAAGTATAAACAATGGATTGGAATCTTTAAATGGTAAAATCAGACAAATATATACACTTCGAAGTAAGCTTCCATTGCCATCATTTCTTCCAACAATTGTTTCAATGCTTCAAAACTGGTCTCATCAATCAGTTAATAACGGTTTTACCATATACCCAAGTATTGATACAGCAGCTGAAAATGGTTACAAGATCTTGATAAAAATGCTGTTATACATTGTTATCAACATAGTTATGCTATTCCTTCGTCACATCCAAGTAAAATGAATGCAAATGTACGGCTTCAACAATATACAACAATGTCATGGCTAATATTTGATGAATTTTCATCATGGTTATATTCTGGGTGATTAGTTACAATACCAATGATGTGTGCATATAAAACAAATTTAAAATCATATGTATGTAAACATGCTCTTGGCATGATGATTCATTTAGGCTATTATTTTGTTCAAGCCCCATCAAAATTAGAACATTTCAGCAAAAGACGTGATCGGCCTAAAAAGGCACGTTTAGCATTAATGAAATAAACATTTTTGTGAAAACAGTTGTTATTTCTTCTGAGAATATGTGATTTTTACAGTATAGTTACATGTTTACCAGTTGAGAAAATAATAAAAATTAAATATTTTTACATGCGAACCTGACATGATGCCTGGTTCGCAAGAACGGGCGGCCATCGTTGCCAGTCATTCAGTGAGTATTGCTCGATTTTTCAACAAACTGATAGAAACGGTGCTGAGCACACTCATTGGTTACAACCATCAACAGCATCAATCGCATCCAGGCGGCGGAGTTCTGAGTGAGATTGAGGCATATTACGAGATAGTGGAAGAATCGGGCCGAGGCGCGCTACACCTTCATATGTTACTGTGGTTGGTCGGCAATGTAAACCCTAGCGCTTTGCGTGAATCAATAAAACATGAGGTATGTTGAGATGGATTAAGGTTTGCGTTCATTATCACAGAGAAGGAAACAATGTGACTGCTATTAGAAGCACGTATCTTTTGAGTATGAAATCGATTGTTATCTATTTAGACTTTTAGAGATCATTTGATCCAATATTTGGAAGATATCACCAAAGAGGATTTATCTTGCTTTCAAACCGAACAAGTGCGATCAGATGTTTCTGAAGTTGAAAAACCAAATCGAACGCTAACTTCTATATGTGCACCAATGCCGACACCAGAAGATCTTAATTTTGAGGAGAAAAAA